ATCATCTCTTGCATTCGCTGCAGTCATTTTGTTTGCTTGTTGTGATTTCGCCCTTCCCTTGAAACAATGCCACTTCTTGAGCGCGGCTCACATGCCACAGACTCCCCCACACTTCAGGTATCTCCTCAGGTGCAGGTAACCCTCTCAGGTGCAGGTTCCCCTCTCAGGTGCAGGTGCCCCCCTCAGGTGCAGGTCCCCCCCTCAGGTGCAGGTTCCCTTGGCGTCTGTGGTGTGTGGCCTTGCCTCAACCAGTGCCTCTCCCTTGCTCTTCCACACTTGGCAGTTTTCGGTTTCTGGCCATGCCATGCACACTGACCACTGCCGTGTGTGTGCATTGCAGGTGGAGGGGAGGGGCGCTGGGGTCAACACCGACACTACCCCACGCCCCTTCCCTGTGGCCGTGCAGGGACTCGCGGGGACGGGAGGGAGGGAGGCAGCACTGCAGCAACTTCACATTGTTGTCGCGAGGGAGAGTATCGGGATGGGCTTGGCCTCTCAAGGTAAGCCTCTTACCTCCCATTGCCACTGCGCTCGTTTTCTGCTAAGTTTCCCTCTCGCGCTCATCCCTTCAATTCGCCCTTGCATGTTTCATGTCCTGCACTCACTCCCCTCCTGGCTTCCCTTCCGTTCTGCCCCCCTCCAGGTCACTCGCAATGCAGCAGAGACAGATGACGGTACCAGCTGTGTCAGCATCAGCAGCGGGGAGCGTGGTAGCAGGAGGGGAGGGGAGGGGAGGGGAGGGAAGGGGACATGAGGCAGCATCTCTCGGCGGTTCTTCAGCTGCCAGCTAAGTGCTTTCGCCTCCCTGGACTCACTCTTGCTTGCTTGTCGTTTTGTGCTGTATCCCTGAAACCCTGCCACTGGTTGGGGTCCGGTTCACAAGCCACAGACCTTCCCTTTACTCCTGGTAAATCCGCTCAGGTTAAGCCTTTCTTAGACCTTACAGCCCCATCAGGTACAACCCCTACAGCAGGTTTATCCCCGCAGGTTTTCTTGAAGGTCTGTGGCTTTGGGTCGTGTTTCCACCAGTGGCCCCTCCCCTCGCTTGTGCTGCCTTTGAATCTCACAGTTGCCAATCCAGCCTGATTTCATGGTTGCACACTGACAGGCTCTGTGCGTGTGCATTGCAGGTGGAGGGGAGGGGCGCTGGGGTCAACACCGACGCTTCCCCACGCCCCTCCCCTGTGGCCGTGCAGGGACTCGTGGGGACGGGAGGGAGGCAGCACTGCAGCAGATGGCAACTGCTGCCACAAGGGAGAGTATCGGGGTGGGCTCGGCCTCTCAAGGTATGTCAACTTCCTCTTTGGCCTCTTTCTCTCTTTCTGCTGCATGTTTCTCTTCTGTCTTACTGTCATCGCTTTTGTAAATTTCTTCTTCTTCTACTTCTGGCAGCTTTACCCTCCGCCATGTTTTGGCGAACCCTTATTCATTGCTTCTTCTCTTCCTTTCTGCCCGCCACCAGGTCACATGGCATCAATCAAGGGAAGAATGCAGCTGAGAAGCAGACCGGCAGCAGCAGTTGTAGCAGCAGAAGCGGAGCAGCAGCAGCGGTAGCAGCAGTGGGGGGTGGTGGGCTAGGGGACAGACTAGGCTAGGTCGAGTCATGAATGCAAGGTGTGGTAACAGGTGAGGTATGGTTACAGGTCAGGTATTCTGACCCCCTCCTTTCTTTCCGCATCTCCCCTGCAGCCTGAGGGTGGGAGCACTGGAGCAAGGCCGAAGTGTAGAGTCGACCCTCTCACTCACCTCCTCTTCTCTCTCTCCTCCCTCCCTCCCACCCAACAGCACCCTGCCTGGACCACAGTGGAGTCCCACCCTCTCTTAATCCCCCCTCCTCCTTCTCAGCAGCCTCAGGCATCATGGCGCTGCACGGCTCTGGTAGGTACATACAGGTAAGTAGAGGTAAGCAGGCATGGGGTGAAGGGATGGGGGGAGGTGGGCGGGTGGAGGGGCAGCGTGGGAGCAAGCGGGCAGCACAGTCTCTTAGGGGCGGCACCCTCTGGGGTTGTGGCTTGTGGGTGGGGTGTGGTGGGTGGAATCTGCGTGGCGGCGGCACTCGGTGCTCAAGTAACCGATCTGGCGTTCAAAGCCGAAAGGACACCGTCAGAGCCGACCGGCCGGCGGCTCTGGTTCGCGTCAGCTCTAGCTACGTCAGGGGTGGGATTTGAGTCTTGGGCCAGATCATGCTTTTCCACTGCCATACCTCCCCTGCAAGGCTCAGCCACTGAAGGTGCTGTTTCCGAACGGGAGTGGGCTGTCTGCTGCTCCTTCTGCTGGGGGATGGGTTGGTAAGTCGTGGTGGGTGTTTTGTGTGAATTGGGATGGGGCAGTAAAGATGGGGAGGGGTATGTTACTGGTACGTATGCTACTGTGTGGTATGTAAGTTATTGTGTGGTATGTAAGTTATTGTGTGGTATGTAAGTTATTGTGTGGTATGTATTTACTGTGTGGTATGTATGGTACTGTGTGATATGTATGCTACTCTGTGGTATGTATGTTACTGTGGTATGTATGTTCCTGTGTGGTATGTATGCTACTGTGTGGTATGTATATTACTGTGTGGTATGTATGTTCCTGTGTGGTGTGTATGCTACTGTGTGGTATGTATGCTACAGTGTGGTATGTATATTTCTGTGTGGTGTGTATGTTACTGTGTGGTATGTATGTTCCTGTGTGGTATGTATGCTAATGTGTGGTATGTATATTACTGTGTGGTATGTGTGCTATTGCGTGGTATGTATGTTACTGTGTGGTATGTATGCTACTGTGTGGTATGTATGTTACTGTGTGGTATGTATGCTATTGTGTGGTATGTATGTTCCTGTGTGGTATGTATGCTACTGTGTGGTATGTATATTACTGTGTGGTATGTATATTTTTCTCAGTGTGGTATGTATGCGGTATGTATCTTACTGTTTGGTATGTATGCTACTGTGTGGTATGTATGTTACTGTGTGGTATGTATATTACTGTGTGGTATGTATGCTACTGTGTGGTATGTATATTTCTCTCTGTGTGGTATGTATGTTCCTGTGTGGTATGTATGCTACTGTGTGGTATGTATGTTACTGTGTGGTATGTATGCTACTGTGTGGTATGTATGTTCCTCTGTGGTAGGTGTGCGTCTGTGTGGTATGTATATTACTGTGTGGTATGCATGCTACTGTGTGGTATGCATGCTACTGTGTGGGATGCATGCTGCTGTGTGGTACGCATGCTACTGTGTGGTATTTATGCTATTGTGTGGTATGTAGTAGTGCCATACCTCACAGGTTGGCATGTAATATTGTGGTGTGTCAGAGTGTGGTGTGCCTTAAAATTGTGTGGAATCATGCGCATTTTCATGCTTGGGTGAGTTCCTTTGCTGCTCGCTGTGGTGTGGTATGTGTGCTTGCCATTGTCGGGCATGCCATTGCCTGACACGTCGTTGTGGTAAGATTTTTTGGGTGGGGGCAGGGTTGGAGGTGGGATTGGGGGGAAGGGCTGGTATCTGGTGGCGACGATATGTTGTGTCATGCTGTGGTGTGGCTGTCGGGGTGATCTGAGCGCAAAGCCCCACCATTTGACTGATGGATGGTGGCTTATTGGGGTGATGTGATCGTGCCTTGTGCAGCCAAGTTATGCATTCGCATGGTTGGTGGGATGCCTAGTTGCATGATGCAGCATTGCAGTGATGATAGGAGCATGACACAGATTAGATGTGAATGCTGACCTGACCCATCAGCACACGGGCATGTATGGTATGAGTGCATGAAGTCCTGAACCAGGAATGCGGTATGTGAGTTATGAATCTGGCCATATGCTGCCTATGAACACGATTGTAGCATGTTATTGTCTTCATAAATGAAAAGTATTCTGCTGTACCAGCTGTTTATGTCCAACCAGCAAGTTTCAAGTCAAACTATCTATGAACCAAGACACTGCATAAAGAAGTTGCTCATAATGACTCACCTTCGTAGGGATCACCGAACCAAAGTCGGTGATAAGTGCGCTCCAACAGTTCCTGCGACTGTTGACGGAGAATCGACGTGCTTATGTCACGCTCCTGAACGGTCGAATAACGGGCAGCGGGAATAAAACTTCTGCTATCATATCGGCTAAGTACAGAAGTCATCACCTTCAATGTCGCGGCTTTTAGCAGGGCGATACTTTATTGGTTTGGGACAGTGAAACATTTCCGAAAGAGATATTTTATTTTCCCACCGATCAAACCAGATCAGACAAGCCAAACCAGGCCAAGGGCGGGACACCAACCAAAGGGAATACTGTAGTGCGGGAAATTGCAGCTCCGTGGCTGGGCTGGGATGGAACATTCTTGCCATGGCACCAGGCACCATGGCTGCCCGCCTGCGTGCTCCCTCCCTTCCCTGCCTCTACCCCTCTCCACTCCACCCTTTTCTTTCATTACAGCCTCCACTCCCTGTACAACCTCCTCACCGACCCCACCCACCAACCATCCCCTTGGAATGGATTCTTCCTCTTCCTAGCCTAACCTGACTCTCCCTTCCCCCCTACCAACAAAATTTCACACTCACTTGCTTTTGGCTGTTTGGTGCCAGACGGTGCTGTCAGTTCGTTCACGGCTCTCATCATCAGCCAATTCAACTCCATCCTCAAAACGATCTTGCTGCAGCTGTTCGAGCAAAAACGGTTTCCAAGGGCTTGGACTTCGACCATTCCCTTAGCAATTGCATATTTTCGTTATTTAGCATCGACGGCAGCGTGACTCTTGCGCTACGGTGACAAACAGGATGTCCAGAGAGTTCTTTACCTTTTCCAGCATTAACGACTCATCCCATCGACCAAACCGTTAGTGTCCGTTCTTGTGCACCTTAGAAAGAAAAAACGCGACACGCTGTAATCGCGGTAGTCCTTATTTCTGTTACTGACGATTTCATAGGTAGAGACACATAGCAAGTACGCGCATCGGCAGGCGTTGGATTTTCCCCTCTTCGACGGCGATCGATCGTCCACCATTTTTCCATGTCGATAGTCGCAGCATGCTCATTACCCTGCTACTTGTGCTGCTGTTACTCCCATCGAATAAACATCGTTCGGCATTGGCGACAACGGAAATGCCATTCAACTCCAAGTTTGGTAAGTCCCTGGGGAAATACCTATGATAGAGACCGCGGACGTGTTTCGTGGATCATGGGGATATTTTTTCTGAAAGAGCTAAGAAACAGAGTACGGTCAGTCACCCCGTTCCGTCAGCTGACTACGGTTATATTGCTGGAAATGCCTGCTCGTGTGGAAGGTTCGGTCGTTTTGGCGACTCTCCTGTGTCGGTCGCTACGGAAACGCGCGTGCTCTTTCGCTCTCCCGCTGTGCACCATGCTATATCACCCTCTCGCTACACACATGCTCTCAGGCTCTCTTGCCAGTTCCGTCATCCACCCGCCTTTCTCTCCCCAATCGCCGTCCCTCTTCATCCTCGCCTTCTTCGCACCCAACCCTATAATTTTCCTTTCCGCGCGGCCACTCGCGACCTGCCTCCTCTCAGTACATGCACTTCGTTCTCGCTGCCTCGTCCTCCTTTTGGCTTCGATGCCTCGCGAGCCGATAGATTGTTGGTTCCAGAGGAGAGCACCGAATGGGTTGAAACGATCACTGCTAGCCGGGATTGTCAGCTGGGACCTGTGAAAGGAGCCTGCAGGCCGGCAGGACCGGGCTGAAGCAATCGCCTTTAGGAGCTCGAAAGCAGGGCTGCAGCTAGCCAGCAGGTCGTTTGTTTCGCGGTTTTCCTCCTGTAGATTGTTACGCTCGTCGCGCAGCCTTGATGCTTTCGAGCTGGGTGTCGCGTTGCCGGTCGCGTGGCATGGAGTGCAACAAATGTACAATTTATTTCTAGGCGCCTAAAATATACAACACACGTACGACACCAACACGACATGACGACCTAACGATCTTCTATCCACGCCGCTGTTTTTCGTGCCTCGCAGTGCAACCCATGCACGAGATTATGACGGCCTTTAATCTCGACCCGGAGCAGAACTGGAGTGAAGGCGCGCCGTGCTCCGACGACGGAACGGGCAGTGGCTTTAAGGGCGTGATCTGCGACTCCAACGGCAACCCTCGTGCCATGTAAGCACCGCCGACGCTCACTCGCTCGTCCGCCACGTGGACGTCTCTCTCAGTGCCACGTCAGTAGCCACACTTGCCACGTCCGTCATGATCTTTGCCACGTCAGGCGGAACTGCTCGTCGCGTCGATGCCATCATTGCGTTTAGGTGAGCGACTTGTTTTCTCACGCCACGCCACCCCCTCCCGTTGCGCCCCACATCCCGCCATTCCCGGTCCCCCCCGCATCCCGCCATCCATGTCGTCGTTTGTGTGTGTCTGTCGCTGCCGCCTGCGCGTCGCGGTTCCGCTGACTCTCCGCGGAACCTCCGCGTTGGGGTGTTGCGCTCGAATCCCGCCCGCAGGATCTTCCCTATCCGATACTTCGAGTACTGCTCTCTCCCCCTTTCGCATCGTCCTTGTGCCTCCCTGTCACTCTCTTCACTTCTCTTCCAATCCCCCCTCTCCGTTTTCCTCGCCCTCCCGCTCTTCTCCTTCTGCCGTCTCTCATTTCCCTTCCTATCTCCCCTTACCCCTCCTCCCGTCACCTCTTTTCCCCTTTCTCCAAGCTCTCTTCCCCCGTCTGCCTCATCCTTCGCGCCCCTCTGCTCTGCTCCATGCTTCTCATCCTGGCCAGAAATAATCTCCCTCCCCTTCATGTCCGCACCTCACATTGTGTTCGCATCCCATTTTCTAATGTGAAACGTGCATGTGCCATCCCCCACAATGCGCCACTCAACCCCCATGCGCCATTCCCCACTCATGCGCCATCCCCCACTCATGCGCCATGCCCCACCCCGTGCGCCATCCAGCACCCATGGGCCATCCCCCACCCATGCGCCATTCCCCGCCCCATGCGCCTTCCCGCACCCCATCCGCCACCCCCAATCCACGCGCCATCCCCCGCCCCATTTGCCAATCGTGCGCCACGTACCCTTGTCTCTTTTGACCCTCGTTCCCATGTCTCGTCCCTTCTCCTATCCACGTCTACCCTTCGCATCTTATTTGCATTCCCTCTCCCTCCCTCATCCCCATCGCCCCCTGCCTCCCTTCATCCTCATCGCCCCCTCCCTCCCCTCATCCCCATCACCTCCTACCAGGATACCCACCCTAGGGAACTCCCTCGTGGGCCTCAGATCCCTCCCAACCGCCTTCGCCCGCCTCACCACGCTCACCAGATTGTAAGCCGCTTCACCTCTCCCCATCCGCTTCACCTCTCCCCATTCTCTCACCTCTCCCCATCCGCTTCCTCCCTCTCCCCATCCGCTTCCTCCGCTCCTCGTGTCAAGCGGAACTTGGGTCTGAGCGTGCGTCCGCGCGATCCCTCCGTGCGGGCAACCGTGGTTGTATGGCATGTCACGCACTGGCACGGCACTCTATGCTCCCCTCGTCCTGTATGCTTCTTCTTCTTTCCCACTCGTCCTGCTGCTCTCCTCACTTCCTCCTGCCTCTCAGCCCTTGTCTGACTGACTGTGGGCTTCCTCCGCCCCTATCCCTCTCGTTCCCTTCCCTCTTCATCCTCCCTCTCCTCTCCTAACTCCCCCCTCCCCCCCCGCAACTTCTTCCCCTCCCATCGTGGTGGTGACGGCATGGTGTTGCGTGCACCCCACCAGAGTGCTCATCATGGGACTTATTAACACCAGACTAGACGACTTCGCCAGACCCCTCTCCTGCTTGCCTAACCTAAGACACTTGTGAGCTGCGTTCCCTGCCGCCTGCTATGTGGCTTCCTCTCGTGCCTTCGTGTGTCAAATTCGCCCTGCCGTGCCATCTGTTTGTGTCCTGATTTTCTCGCCTTCCCACTCTTTGGCTGTCCTCGCTTTTCGCACATCACATGGCCTTATTGACCTGCCGCCATCATCATCATGCGTTACCACCACCCACGCCACCACCACCACCACCACCATCATCATCACCATGCCTTACCATCATCATCTCCATGTCTTACCATCATCATCATCACCATGTCTTACCATCATCATCACCATGTCTTACCATCATCATCACCATGTCTTACCATCATCATCACCACGTCTTACCATCATCATCACCATGTCTTACCATCATCATCACCACGTCTTACCATCATCATCACCACGTCTTACCATCATCATCACCATGTCTTACCATCATCATCACACCTCCCCTGCATGCAGAGTGCTGGATGGGAACTCCTTTTACGGACCCGTCCCACCTTACCTCATTAACTCACCCACTCTAACTGACTTGTAAGTGCTTTGCCTGCCTCTTCCTGCTTCCTACCCGCCCTGCTCTCCCCATCTGCCCTGCTCACCATCCACCCTGCTTCCGTACTCCAAGTAACCAGAGCCCCTCGACTATTCTTCTCCTAAGCTTTTTCCCCTCCATCTGCCTGCATTTGGGGGAGAGAGAGGGGCCCTGTGTCTCAGACGTTAAACAGCCCACTGCTCCTGCTGATGCTCCTCTGAACGGCACCTTCCTTGCTTGCTCCTCTCACCTTCGCTGTCGCATCTCGCCCCAGTTTTCCTCTCCTTCCTTGCCCCCGATGCTGCTGCATCCCCTCCACCTGCCTCCCCATCACCTTCTCTGTATTCTCCCCCACGCCTCCCACCATCCCTCCTCATTTCCCCCCTTCATCCTGATACCCCATATCCTTCCTCACACAGCACATCCCTTCCCTTCTGCAACCCCCCTTTCCCCTGCTCTCCCGCTGCATCCTTATCCCCTCATCCCCCTCCCTCACCCACACCTCCTCTTCCCCGTCCCCTTTCCCCGCGCTTCCCCCCCTCCCCCCTTCCCCCCCAGGTCGTTACAGGGCAACAAGCTGACGGGCACAATAAGGAGAATCGGACCCAAGCTCACAGCGCTCTTCCTCTCCGTCAACTTCCTAACCGGCGCGCTCCCCCACACCCCCCACCTGCGCGTGTGCAACGCCGCCATGAACTGCCTCTCCCGCACTCCTGCTCTCCCACTGCTTCCTTATCCTCTTTCCCCCCTGTTTCCTCCTCCCCACCTCCCCTCCCCTCCCTCCCCCACCCCTCCCACCCCGCCTACCAGGTCGTTACAGGGTAACAAGCTAACGGGCACAATAAGGAAAATCGGACCCAAGCTCACAGCGCTCTTCCTCTCAGTCAACTTCCTAACCGGCGCGCTCCCCCACACCCCCCACCTGCGCGTCTGCAACGCCGCCATGAACTGCCTCTCCCGCACCGCCGGCTGTAACGGGGTAACCGGGTTTCCGCGCCGCCAGCGCACCATCGGGTGCCGGCGAAACCCCTGTGCCAAGCCGAGGCTACTCAACACGTTCCAGTGCAAGTGGGCCAAGTCGTGTATTCCACAGTATGGAGATTGGCCGCCCTGGGAGGTTGATGCGTTATCAAACCCGCCTGATAAAGGCTGGAAGTGTAACTCTTGCCCCACGGGGACTTACGCAACGAGAAGGCGATGTGGTGAGTGTATGTGAGTTGGCGTGAGCTTGTTACACCTATCTCAGAACCGCTCCCTTTTCTCTCGTCCCACCCTCTCCTTTCCACACCCAGACTCCTCTTCTCTCCCCTCCCTCCTCCCTCCCTCCCCCCCCCCCTTCACCTGCTTTCACACGCTGTACTTCCAACTGTCATGAGCATTTTGTAGGTTTTCGTACTTCCTGATTTGCTAGTGTTTGCTTCATGTGCCTGCTCTTTTTCTGTGGGTCTGTACGTGTGTGTGGGCTTGTTGTGTTGCAGTTCCCTGCTCCAAACCCTTCGTAAGATGTCGGAAAAAAACGACGGAGATTTAGATGTCCAAAATAGGCTGTAGCCTGAATGGTGGGGTAGATGTAGCCTGGTAGGCGTTTTGGGCCTTGATAAAATAGGGCAGTGTTCTCATTAGTAAATGAAGGCCCTGTGGTGTACAGCACACAAATGCCTTCTATCGAAGCATTCTTCCGCACCATTCCAATACCTTCCCCTCGAAATCCTTCACCGTACTGAATTGCACCAACAACGTGCAGCACCATGCTGCAGTGTTCTGTTATGCCCATCTTCTAATGTACGTGCACGCAATGCATGCCCATCTGCTATTCGGAAACGCGCCCTCCCGCACGCTTCGTCGCTAGCTTCAAATCGTGCATTCGTAGCGCTTCTTCGCTCACTTCCCTGAAGCCGACGCGCCGTCACGTTGTCGCACAGCCTGACGTGGTCGGCACTGTCGCACAGTCGCACAGCTGCCACCGTGCGACGGATCCAATGTCGCAGGTCTTTTCAATAGCAGCGCTACTCGCTCCCCCGCCTCCTTCTTCCCCCGCCTTTCTACTCCCTCCGGCTTTCGCGCAACGCCCAGCCGTCCTTCTCAAATGGAGTAATCATGCATCCCTCAAGCACACGCCTTGTAAACCGCGCGCACCGCTCGTTCTAAGGGCCTCCGCAACCTCCTCGCAGCGCGAGCCGCCAGAGGATAGCGGCTCGCGGCCTCCTCCGCCGCCGCCGCCGCCTATGCGGGTGATGAGCCGCTCCGCGAAGAACGTCCGGCGCATGATGACCGCCGCCTCCCCGCCCGCCCTCGGGCAGTTCCGCCCGCCCCCGCTGCCCAGTACGCTCGCCCACCGCCCTCCCCTTCCGCCCTCCTCCCCTTCAAGCCCTCCTCCCCTTCCGCCCTCCTCCCCTTCAAGCCCTCCTCCCCTTCCGCCCTCCTCCCCTTCAAGCCCTCCTCCCCTTCTGCCCTCCTCCCCTTCAAGCCCTCCTCCCCTTCCGCCCTCCTCCCCTTCAAGCCCTCCTCCCCTTCCGCCCTCCTCCCCTTCAAGCCCTCCTCCCCTTCCGCCCTCCTCCCCTTCAAGCCCTCCTCCCCTCCCGCCCTCCTCCCCTTCAACCCCTCCTCCCCTTCCGCCCTCCTCCCCTTCAAGCCCTCCTCCCCTTCCGCCCTCCTCCCCTTCAACCCCTCCCTTCAACCCATCCTCCTTACCTCTCCTCCCCCGTTGCCCCCATCTCCGCCCCCTCACCCCAAACTTCCCCCATCTGATCCAATCCCTGTCCGCCATTTTACCCTCCTCCGCATATTCCCATTCTCCGCCCACTCCTGAGAATCATGCGCGCCAAAATCCTCTGTTGCGCCTCACCCTTCCCCCAACCCGCGGTCGCTCCGCTCCAATCTTTCCCCCTCCCGCAGTCCCAGGCGCGCCAATGTTCCCCATGGGGGGCGCGGGGGGAGGGGATTCGGGGGAAGCGGAGGAGGGGAGGCGGAAGGAGAGGGAGCGGAGAGAGGAGCTGATCGCGGCGGTGAGGGAGGGGCGAGGCTCCTGGCAGGAGGTCGCTGCTGCTGTCAGGTGAAAACGCTGATGCCTTCGGGTGGATGAGGTTGTGTGCTTCAGTTCAGTTGAAGTTGCTAATGCCTTGCCTTCAGGTGAAATTGCTGATGCTTGGCGAGGCTACCAGTAATTATTGGTCCTGTGACCAGCAACTCCCTATTGCTAGAATCGGATCTAAACTCTTGCCCCCTGCCTTTCCCTGCCATGCCCCCCATGCCTCTTTCGTGGCATGACAGGCAGCTGCAGGGGGCGGGCATGACGGCAGAGGAGGTGGCAGATGTGGCAATGCTGGCGCATGCTTGACGCGCCTCAGAAATATGCAACGCTCTTCCCCCTCCCTCCCCCTTCGCTCCTTGTAGGCAGCTACAGCAGGCGGGCATGACAGCAGAGGAGGTGGCGGACGTGGCGATGCTGGCACATGGCCGACTAACCGAGCTTGTGGTTGCTGCTCAGGTGCCATCCCTCCCTTCCCCATGTGCCGTACACCATGCCCCATTCCTCACGCCCCGTCCCCCGTGCCCCATTTTCGTTGCGTTGTTCCCTATGTCCCCTTCTCTGTGCCCTCTTCCCCATGTCCACTTCTCCATGTCCCATCCCCCGTGCTCTCTTCCCTCCCCATGTCCCCCTTCCCCATGCCCCCTTCTTCATGCCCCGTCCCACTTGACCCACTCTTTATTGATTCCTCTCCTTCTTGTGCCGCCGCTGCCGCTACGGCAGGTGTACGAGTCGCTGCTGCCAGGCGCACAGGAGCCGGAGGGAGAGGGAGCCGGCAACCTGGATGTGGTGGGAGCGTTCCAATCAGAGCAGATTGCGGAGATGCTCTATTCCCCATCCACCAATATTTCTTTCCACTCCCCCTCCCTGTGCCGCTGCTGCCGCTACGGCAGGTGTACGAGTCGCTGCTGCCAGGCCCACAGGAGCTGACTCTTGAGTCGACTAAGGAATCGGCCCATCACCCATGTTCTCATTCCGCTCCTCCCTGTGCCGCTGCTGCCGCTACCGCAGGTGTACGAGTCGCTGCTGCCAGGCCCACTAGACCCGGAGGGAGACGGAGCCGACAGCGGCTTTGATGTGGTGGCAGCGTTTCAGTCAGAGCAGACTGCGGAGCTGCTGTATGAGCTGCGCACCCTCCCCACAGCCGGCCGACGGGTGGGTGCTGCTGGGTTGGGAGTGGTTGGGGCGGGTGGGATGTTGGGGATGGCTGAAGCTGTGTCTGCTGGGAGTGGTGGGGTTCGTGCGGGTGGTGGGGCCTTCTTTCTCCCTGCTGCTTCGTGCCTCATCCCCTCTCTCCCACCACTCCCACCACCCTCTCACCCCCCCACCCTCCGGTTACAGCAAGCAGCGGCATATGTGGTGCAGCAAGGGCTGGATGCAAGCAGGGTGAGGGAGCTAGTGCGCGCCATGAGGGACCATGCCAGGCGACCCAACTCCAGAGAGGTGAGCGCAGAGAGGGGGGTGTAGAGGGGAGGGGCAGAGAGGGGAGTGCAGAGAGGATAGTGCATATGAATGCAGTAGCCTTCATCACTGAATTGCATGCAGACAGCTGGCAACTGCTTCAGAGGTTCGTCAGTAATGAATTCATGTATGTGGTTTCGTGGTGTAGTTGGTTATCACGTCAGTCTAACACACTGAAGGTCTCCGGTTCAAGTCCGGGCGAAGCCACTTTTGAGTCAACCTTGTGTCCTTGTTTTAATCATCCAACTGCATTGTACTGGCTCAGACTTTGCTTCAGACCGCTACCTTTTCGCATCAACGCCTCCTCTTCCGTGCGTCACTTCCACCAATCATACCTCACACTTACCGCGCCTTTCCTCCTCTCATTTGCTGCTTCTCATCAGCACCTCGGGACTGTCTGCCACTCGCGTGCTTCCACTTCTCCTGTGTTCCCCACGCTCACCCCTCACTCACCTCTCACACTCACCCCTCACACCTACCCTTCACACCCACCCCTCACACTCACCCCATCTCCCATCCTCCCTTCCACTCCAGGGCTTCTCATCCGTGCCTGGGGACTGTCTGGCCTTCATGTGCTTCTGCCTTGCCCCCCTCATACTCGCCCATCATACTCACCCCTCACACCCATTCCTCCTCCCCTCCCTCCTGCTGCAGGGCTTCTCATCCGCGCCTGGAGACTGCCTGGCCTTCATGTGCTTCCGAGCAGCAGGGGAGAGCAGTGGGGAGGAGCGGCGGGCGTGGGTGGAGAGGGGCATGGCTGCTGCTGTGACTGAGAGCGCACGGGCAAGGTTGCAAGAGCTGCAGTAGCAGCACTGGTGGGCGTCGTTGATGTGCTGAGGTTGGGGAGGTAACCTGCACGTTTGTGTGCGTCCGAGCATCAGGGAAGAGCAGTGTGGTTGGAGAGGGGCATGACAGCTGCAGTGAGAGAAGAGAGAGAGCGCACAGGCAAGGCTACGAGGCCTGGAGGAGCAACACGGCTTCGGCCGGGTGGGGAGCATGAAGATCGCCAGCCAGCCCAGTTGCCTCTTCTCCCACCCACCTGTTGGCTCCATATTCTATTCTATTCCAGGCTCGTTGTTTCCCCCGAGCAAAAGAAGTGTCCCACACGTACCCAGGGTGTTCCTCATGGCGTGACTCTTGCCTGGCATGGCCGCTGTATCATCATCGCCACAGCAGGCCTTACCGGTAGAACAACTACCATGCATTAGTCATTCTGCTTGTTCAATAAATTACCGTTTTATTCACACTAATATATGCGCATCGAACAGCCTTATCTCAGGTCAGGAGCAAACACACGCGGTTGGCAGGCAGACAGCACTGACTGTTACCAACAGGGTAACCAGTTCTTCCCATAGCACATCACAGGTCGACAGTAGATGCTTTCTTGCCACGGCCCTCAGGGCTTGAAGGTGGGTGCTTGCCTCTCGCCCCCCCACGAGGCTTCATACAGCAGTCTCGCCCCAAGGTCGGCATACGGGTCCTCCTCTCGCTTCCTCAGCAGGTACTCTATCCCTCCGTCCACCTCGCCCTTCCCCTCCTCTTTCCCCTGGCCCTTCCCCTCGCCTTTCCCATGTGCATCAAGGCTTGAAGGTGGGTGCTTGCCTCTCGCCCCCCCACGAGGCTTCATACACCAGTCTCGTCCCAAGGTCAGCATACGGGTCCTCCTCTCGCTTCCTCAGCAGGTACTCTATCCCTGCCTCCACTTCCCCCTTCACATGCGCGTACAGTGCTGCTGCTGCCTGCTGGTCCGTGAGCACTTCCCGCATGCCTGGTGGGGTGGGAAGTGGGAGGGGAGGGAATGGGTAGTGTGAGCATGTGTGAGCATCTGAGTGGGCAGCACCACTGGCGCCAGAGCATAAGAAGTGGTTGAGGTATGTAGAGCTAGAGAGCGGAAGAATGGCACTGGAAAGGAGAGCGTACCAGCAGGGCAGATGGGCGCGCCAAACTTGATGTACATGCGGTTGATCTTGTTGGGGCACCACTGGTACCAGAGCATAAGAAGCGGTTGAGGTGTGTACGAGCAAGAATGATGACGGTGACAGGAGAAGCGTACCGGCAGTGCGGATGGGAGCGCCAAACTTGATGTAGAGGCGGTTGATCTTGTTGGGCAGCACCGTTTGTGTCAGAGCAGAAAGAGCATTGCAGAGGGTTTGAGTAAGAGGTTGAGAGGGTGGCGAGAGGTGATGCGTACCAGCAGTGCGGATGGGTGCCCCGAACTTGATGTAGAGGCGGTTGATCTTCTTTGGCAGCACCACTGGCGCCAGGAATCGCTCCACTGCTGGCCCTGCTATTTCGTCCTCCCTGGGTGGGGGGAATGAGAGAGGTATTGGGGAAAGGCGGAGGAGAGATGGTAGAAAAGCAACACGAGAGATGGCCCAGATACGTAGGGGCATGAGAGGCAAGGGAACGCTGCTTGCACAAACACAATCAGACCTCAGTTACTCCCAAGCGAGTCGCGAGCACAGCACAGTGACTGACCTGACTTCAACGATGTGATTCTATGAACATTCTGACATGAACTGTTGACACACACTGCACATTCCTTCGTGCACCTGACTTTGGGCTCATAGCCCATAAACTCTTTGATCTGTTCCCCATACTCCAGGAGATAGGGTAAAGTTTGTTGTGAGCTGTATGAAAGCTGAACTTTGAGCCACTTCAGCATGATTACTGATCTGACTTTGGCACATAGTCCATGAACTCATTGATCTGCTCCCCGTACACCGGTAGAGCTGACCCGAGTTGAGGCACTCCTGAGCGAAGTCGAGTACACAGCACACACACCCACACACGCACCTGACTTTGGGCACATAGTCCATGAACTCTTTGATCTGCTCCCCATACACTGGGAGAGTGACTTGAGTCGCTGACCTGGTCAAGGCACACAAGGACATGCACTCCTGACCTGAGTCGAGCACACAGCACACACACCCACACACGCACCTGACTTTGGGCACGTAGTCCATAAACTGCTTGATCTGCTCCCCGTACACCGGCACATTGGGTAGCTCGTCCGCATCCAACACAAACTGCATGGGGATGGTGGGGATGGGGAAGATGGAAAAAAGACAGAGGTAAGTCAGGGGAATCCATGCACGCCTTGATCTGCTCCCCGTACACCGGCACGTTGGGCACTCGTCCGCATCCAACACAAACTGATGCGGGTGGTGGGGAACGTGTGGGGCGATGGATGGGTGGCCGAGGGAAGATGTAAGAAACGGAGTGGGAAGGCAGGGGAATGCGAAAGTGATTGGATGTGCATGCATGCCTGGGCAGCTCGTCTGCGTCCAACACGGACTGATGCCGATGGCGGGGGTGGCGGGGGTGGTGGGGATGATGTGATGTGGGAGATGGACGAAGGCAGGGGGATACAGGGAACTGTGAGCTATCGTGCATGCATGCCTGGACAGCTCGTCCGCGTCTAACACAGACTGATGCCGATGGCGGGGGTGGTGGGATAATGGGAGTGATGGACGTGCAAGGCGAGTCACAACACGACGCGGCACGCGCTTGTGTTGTGACACAGGGCACACTGCCCTCATGAAGTGGCGGTGTGATGGCATGGCATGTTGAGCGTGCCATGCACCCACAGTGCAGGAGTAATATGGGCCGACTCAAAGCACACTTTGTGGAAAGGCAGTATTCCTGCGTGGCAAGCTGAGCGTGCATAGTGCACGGGTCACATGCAATCCGTACCAGCTAAACTGATGGCACAGTATGTTTCTTTAGAATTCTCGAAAAACATGATCTGTCACTCACATTGTAAGCATCGTCCACGCCCACTGAAGCAAAGGGGATGATCACTGCTCCGAACTTGACCTGCGGAGACAACACATGCACACAAGGCACATGCGGACATGACACATGAACACACATGATACATGCAATGTGAGGCATGGCACGAAACATGAGACATGGGAGCAGGTAAGCCAGTGAGAGGAGGCGACCCACCTCCTCCAGACTCCAGTCGTCTACAGAAGCTATTGGACCAGCATGGCAGGCAAGTGGGTGGTTAGAACATGTCACGGCACATGGCAAGTCAAGTGCAACGCAACAGCATGGAGCATTAGCGGGCGAAATGCAACGAAGTGGGCGCAACGCAGCATGGCGACTCACCGCCATGCGCACGAACTCAGGACGGTGTGGCCAGAAGAGGTGACTCTTGAGTGGACTCAAAAGACAACTCCATAACAATACACCAACATGGATCACCACTAGCAGCATGGTGACTAGACTCACCGCCATGCGCACAAACTCAGCACGGTGTGGCCAGAAGAGCTTGTACTCCTCGCCCTGGGGTGGGGAGTGGTGTGGAGTGGGTCGGTGTGGTGTGGAGTGGTGTGGAGTGGTGTGGAGTGATACGGGATGGCAAAGGATGGCACTTGCTGACACGTCATATCGAGCAAAGAAATCTTTCAAATCTGGCCGAGAAGCACATACGCCACAGACCAGAGAAGACAGAATAATATTGATGTTCAACACAGGAACATGAATAATCCATCCAGCTCCATTCCTCCACCGCCACTCACCCGTTTCCTGAGTGCCTCCCTCATGCCCCTTGGGAACAGCAGCGTGGCTTGGTCGGTGGCCAGCAGGCGGTGCAGCACCCTGGGCGTCACCCTCCCAATCCCAAGTCTTGCTGCAATTTCAGCACCAAAAACCACTCACCTGCTTCCCCACTACCACTCACCCGTTTCCTCAGCGCCTCCCGCATGCCCCCTGGGAACAGCAGCGCAGCTTGATCTGTTGCCATCAGGCGGTGCAACACCCTGGGGGTCACCGGGACTGCTCCGAAGAGGCGGAACTCCTCTGCCATGGGGTTGTGCTCTATGGAGCCGGGGAACTGAGGGATGGGAGGAAGAGTGAAGGGGTTGGGAAGTGGGAGAGAGGGAGTGCAAGGCACGTGTATGGGCGTAGGAGGGGGACTGGGGAAAGGGAGCATCGGCACAGCACCGAAGAGGCGGAACTCCTCTGCCATGGGGTTGTGCTCTATGGAGCCGGGGAACTGGGCAGTACACATGGAGAGGGGAGGTGAGGAAGGGGGCACAGATTTGGTTGAGAGAACGGGCATGGGGCGTCACGGGCACGGCGCCAAAGAGGCGGAACTCCTAGTGGAGGGAGGGAGGGAGGGAGGGGTAGAGGGCCACTTACCATGCCGAGTGCAACGGGGTGTGTGAGTCCTCTGAGTGGCACTCCGTGTGCGAGCAGCTCAGCAATGAGAGGGGAGAGGTCCGGTGCATATGTCTGGTGGTTTCCCACGAAGAGAGGAAACTTTAAGGCACTCACCAGGCAGAGAGGCAACAGTCACAAGGAACCTCACTCACCATGCCGAGAGCGACGGGATGTGTGAGTCCTCTGAGTGGCACTCCGTGTGCGAGCAGCTCAGCAATGAGAGGGGAGAGGTCCGGTGCATATGTCTGGTGGTTGCCCACGAAGAGCAGAAGCTAGTTATAGCTGCAGTAGCATCACCCGCAGGCCACTCACCATGCCAAGGGCGATGGGGTGTGAGCCCCCTGACGGGCACTTTGTGTGCGAGCAGCTCTGCAACGAGAGGGGAGAGGTCCGGCGCGTATGTCTGGTGGTTGCCCACGAAGAGCAGCGAGGGAGGGAGGGGTAGAGGGCCACTCACCATGCCGAGCGCAACGGGGTGTGTGAGTCCTCTTAGTGGCACTCCGTGTGCGAGCAGCTCAGCAATCAGCGGAGAGAGGTCCGGCGCGTATGTCTGGTGGTTGCCCACGAAGAGCAGCGGGCGCTCGCCCGTTGGTATGCCCTCTAGACCCAGCACTATGCGCGCAGACGAGGAGGCGGAGGAGGAAGCGGAGGAGTGTCTGAGCACTCTGCTGAGGTGGGTGGTGTGTCGCTCATCGTCCACCACGGTGGACAGGAACACGGGCGAGCACATGAGACGAATCGAGCTGTCCATGCCGCCCTTGCTGCGCGCAAACTCCTCCACCGTGGGCAGCACGAAGCCGTCCACTTGCGGGTCCTCCCGCCTGCTGCTGCTGCGCCTGTAGACCCCTGCGCCCTTTATGATGCTCGCTAGATCAATGTCTGCTTCCTGAGGTTGGGGAAAAGCGTGAGGGAGGGAGGGAGGGAGGAGGGGGTTGGTTGCTGGGCAAGTGGGTATCAAGAAGCCGGCAAACTCCTCCACGGTGGGCAGCACGAAGCCGTCCACCTGCGGGTCCTCCCGCCTGCTGCTGCTGCTGCGCCTGTACACACCCGCTCCTTTGATGATGCTCGCCAGGTCAGGTGGGGAAATGGGGGAAGACGGTGGGGGTGAAGGAAGAGAAGCGTAAGCGGGCAGGAAAGTAGCCTTTGCAGATGCTTGCGAGATCAACGCCACATCTAACTAACCATGCCCTAGTGTAGCCTTCACGTCCCACCACACTCACCAGCACCACCCCACCACGCTCACCAGCAGCACCCATCGCACTCACCAGCAGCAGCGTGTGGCCCGAGTTGGGGCACTGCTTGACTATTGTGGTGCAAGCCGCCATGTCCTTGTGGATTCTCTTCGCCTCCTCCTCACTCGGCAACATCTGGTCCTCTCCGCTGGTGGCGGGCGGGCAGGGCAAGAGAGGGAAAAAGATGGAACGAGAGGGAGATGAGGAGGGCAGATCAAACAGGCAGCGAGAGGTCCTTGTGCAGCCGCTTCGCCTCCTCCTCACTCGGCAGCATCTGGTCCTCACCGCTGGTGGTGGGCGGGCAGGGGGAGCAGGTAAGCCAAAATAGGTGTAGAGAGAGACAGAGAGCGAGGGAAGGACCAGAGTAAGAAGGGTGGGTGTGCTTCGTAGAATCTTTCCCTCCTCTCGGCAGCAATGTCAACAATGAGTGTGGTGTGCTTGATGTCCTTAAGCAATGGCTCCACGGCAGCACTGCCCTCCTCCAGCAGGTACGAGAGGAGCAAGTTTGTGCGTTGGTTTCTTTGCTTCCTCTGCAGGTAAACCCCCACTCACCCGGCAACAATGAGCGTGGTGTGCTTGATGTCTTTGAGTACTGGCTCCACGGCCGCACTGCCCTCCTCCAGCAGGTCCAGCTTCCACTCGAGCGTTGCCTGAGGGAGAATATCTGCCACGAGCTGGAAGGAAGAAGGGAGGTTGGGTTGGAGTGGGGTGGGGTTAGGGGATGGTAGTGCAGCGAGGGTCAAAGGGGGGGGGGGGTTAGCAAGGCAAGCACTGCCCTCCTCCAGCAGGTCCAGCTTCCACTCGAGTGTGGCCTGGGGGAGAATGTCCGCCACCAGCTGTAATGGAAGTGTGAGGGATGGGGGTGGTGTGGATCGGGATTAAGGGAGAAAGAATGCACGCTGGTAGCATAGGAAGGGCTAAGGGAGTTGGTAGCATGGCAAGCACTGCCCTCCTCCAGCAGATCCAGCTTCCACTCGAGGGTCGCCTGGGGGAGAATGTCCGCCACGAGCTGGATGGGGGATGGGGTGGTGTGGAAAAGAAGAAAGGGAGGAAAGTGTTTGCTGGCAGCAGGGCAGGCACTGGCTCTTTGCGAGGCATTTCAAGGATGCGCCGCGTACAGATTGCAATGCATTGCAAGTGAACTGAGTAAACGAGTAAAATCCCACAGGTAGTAAGGTCAGGACAGAAAGGAATAGGGTCTCACGGGCAGGATGGGCAGCAGGTCGAGTAGGTTCTGCCTCAGCTGCAGCAGGCGGTCGAGAGGCGAGGCATCCAGGGGCACTCGCCCTGACGCCATGCGTATAGGGTTGCCTGGGAGGATGGAGGGGGAAGGGGAAGGGTGGGGGTTGAAGTTTGAAGAAGGAAGGGAGCGGGGAATGATGAAACGTGGTGCACTTGGTGTGACGCCATGCAGATAGGGTTGCCTGGGAGGAGGGGAGGCGGGGTTGGGAGGGAGCTTGAGTGAGTATTGTAGAGAGAGTGGGGGCGGCATGGGGCATGGCACATAGGGCATGCGGACTTGGTTGGGGCATGGGGCATGGGGAATGGGGCACGTGGCATGGGGCATGGAGGCTTAGACGTCCGGTGGCATGGGCATGAAACACAGTGCATGATTTCCAAGGAAGGGGGCACGGAATAGGGGATGAGGAGCAGCAACACCTTACCCATGGTGAAGCTGAGGAGGTAGGGGAAGACGCGGTAGACGTCCGGAGGGATGGAGCGCAGCACTGGGATCAACGGGTGCAGTGGTGAGCGCGGGAAGCTGGTTGCTGCAAGGGGGGAGAGAGGGGAGAGAAGGAGATGGGGGAAGAGAGGGAAGATGGGGGGAATGGGGGGATTGGAGGGATGGAGCGCAGCACTGGGATCAATGGGTGCAGTGGCGAACGCGGGAAGCTGGTTGCTGGAGATGAGAAGGAGGGGAGGGAGGGCGAGACGGGGATGGGTTGGAGGTATGGAGCGCAGCACTGGGATCAACGGGTGCAGTGGCGAACGCGGGAAGCTGGTTGCTGGAGAGGGGGAAGAAGAGGGGGAGGGATTGGGGGAAATGGGTTGATGAGTGGCAGGGCGTCATGGAAAGGGAAGCGGAGAGCACAAGGATGAGTGGGGAAGAAAACGTGTGCAGAGAGGCAGGGAGGACGAGGGGCCAGGTGGACGAGGAACAGCCAAAATTTGGTTGGTCGCATGGCGAGAGAAGAGGAAGAGTGGGAGTGAGGAGGAAGAGAGGGAGTGAGGAGGAAGAGAGGGAGTGAGGAGGAACTGGGGAAAACAAGGAATCGTGGAGAGAGAAGATCGACGATCCTACCAGGGTTAACGAGCACGAGTGTGATGGGCAGCTTGGGGTTCCGGGCAGACACAGCGAGGGCGAGCAGGGCGCCAAAGGACTCCCCCAGAATGAAGAGCGCGCGCGAGGGGTTCAGCTGGTGCTCCCTGACCACCTCCTCCTCCACCAGGTCAACTAGGCCTTTGAAGCTAGTGCGGTCGGACAGAGGCACGTGCAGACAGGTCACCTCAAACAACCTGGGGGGTGTGGTGGGGGAGAGTGGCAGGTTGATGGGAGGGGTTCATCTTGTGCTCCCTGACCTCCTCCTCCTCCACTAGATCGACGAGACGAGTGGAGCTCGTGCGGTCAGATAGAGGCACATGCAGACAGGTCACCTCGAACAGCCGACGGGGTGTGGGGGGCGGGGCCTTGTCAAGATATGAACTTTGAGTGACAAACAATGCGTTATTCCAGATTAGTGCGCATCACCCTGAACCCTGAACCTCGAACGCACGATGAGTGCACCATGATCAGGTGTTAATCACCTTGGGTTGTCCAGACTAGAGAGCATACCTGGCGAGTGTCTTGTGGTGCAGCTGCAGGCCAAACCCCGTGCCCTCGATACCTGCGCGCAGTACAAGAGCAGCATAAACATCAGCATCAGCATCAGCATCAGCAACAGCATCAGCATCAGCATCAGCATCAGCAACAGCATCAGCATCAGCAACAGCAACAGCAACAGCATAGGCATCAGCATCAGCATCAGCATCAGCAACAGCATCAGCATCAGCATCAGCATCAGAATCAGCATCAGCATCAGCATCAGCATCAGCAACAGCATCAGCATCAGCATCAGCATCAGCATCAGAATCAGCATCAGCATCAGAGCATCAGCATCAGCATCAGCAACAGCATCAGCAACAGCATCAGCATCAGAATCAGCATCAGCATCAGCATCAGCATCAGAATCAGCATCAGCATCAGCATCAGCATCAGCGCATCAGCGCATCAGCATCAGCATCAGCATCAGCATCAGCATAAGCATCAGCATCAGCATCAGCATCATCATCAGCATCAGCATCAGCATCAGCATCAGCATCAGCGCATCAGCATCAGCATCAGCATCAGCGCATCAGCATCAGCATCAGCATCAGCATCAGCACCAGCATCAGCATCAGCATCAGCATCAGCGCATCAGCATCAGCATCAGAATCAGCATCAGCATCAGCATCAGCATCAGCATTAGCATCAGCATCAGCATCAGCATCAGCGCATCAGCATCAGAATCAGCATCAGCATCAGCATCAGCGCATCAGCATCAGCATCAGCATCGGCGCATCAGCATCAGCATCAAAATCAGCATCAGAATCAGAATCAGCATCAGCATCAGCATCAGCATCAGCAACAGCATCAGCATCAGCATAAGCATCAGCATCAGCATCAGCATCAGCGCATCAGCATCAGCATCAGCATCAGCATCAGCGCATCAGCATCAGCATCAGCATCAGCGCATCAGCATCAGCATCAGCATTAGCATCAGCATCAGCATCAGCGCATCAGCATCAGCATCAGCATCAGCATCAGCGCATCAGCATCAGCATCAGCGCATCAGCATCAGCATCAGCATCAGCATTAGCATCAGCATCAGCATCAGCATCAGCATCAGCGTATCAGCATCAGCATCAGCATCAGCAGCAGCAGCATCAGCATCAGCATCAGCATCAGCATCAGCATCAGCGCATCAGCATCAGCATCAGCATCCGCATCAGCATCAGCATCCGCATCAGCATCAGCATCAGCATCAGCGCATCAGCATCAGCATCAGAATCAGCATCAGCATCAGCGCATCAGCATCAGCATCAGCATCAGCAATAGCATCAGCATCAGCATCAGCATCAGCATTAGCATCAGCATCAGCATCAGCATCAGCATAAGCATCAGCATTAGCATCAGCATCAGCATCAGCATCAGCATCAGCAGCAGCAGCATCAGCATCAGCATCAGCATCAGCATCAGCATCAGCATTAGCATCAGCATTAGCATCAGCATCAGCATCAGCATCAGCATCAGCATCAGCATCAGCATCAGCATCAGCATCAGCATCAGCATCAGCATTAGCATCAGCATCAGCATCAGCATCAGCGCATCAGCATCAGCATCAGCATCAGCATTAGCATCAGCATCAGCATCAGCATTAGCATCAGCATCAGCATCAGCATCACCATCAGCATCATCAGCATCAGCATCAGCATCAGCGTATCAGCATCAGCATCAGCATCAGCATCAGCATCAGCGCATCAGCATCAGCATCAGCACATCAGCATCAGCATCAGCATCAGCGCATCAGCATCAGCATCAGCATCAGCATTAGCATTAGCATCGGCATCAGCATTAGCATCAGCATCAGCATCAGCATCAGCGTATCAGCATCAGCATCAGCGTATCAGCATCAGCATCAGCATCAGCATCAGCGCATCAGCATCAGCATCAGCATCAGCATCAGCGCATCAGCATCAGCATCAGCGCATCAGCATCAGCATCAGCGCATCAGCATCAGCATCAGCATTAGCATTATCATCAGCATCAGCATTAGCATCAGCATCAGCATCAGCATCAGCGTATCAGCATCAGCATCAGCATCAGCATCAGCAGCAGCAGCATCAGCATCAGCATCAGCATCAGCATCAGCATTAGCATCAGCATCAGCATCAGCATCAGCATCAGCATCAGCGCATCAGCATCAGCATCAGCATCAGCAGCATCAGCATCAGCATCAGCATTAGCATCAGCATCAGCATCAGCATCAGCATTAGCATCAGCATCAGCATCAGCATCAGCATCAGCGCATCAGCATCAGCATCAGCATCAGCGCATCAGCATCAGCATCAGCATCAGAATCAGCATCAGCATCAGAATCAGCATCAGCATCAGCATCAGCATCAGCATCAGCATCAGTGCATCAGCATCAGCATCAGCATCAGCATCAGCATCAGCATCAGCGCATCAGCATCAGCATCAGCATCAGCATCAGCGCATCAGCATCAGCGCATCAGCATCAGCATCAGCATCAGCATCAGCATTAGCATCAGCATCAGCATCAGCGCATCAGCATCAGCATCAGCATCAGAATCAGCATCAGCATCAGCATCAGCACCAGCATCAGCATCAACATCAGCATCAGCATCAGCATCAGCATCAGCATCAGCGTATCAGCATCAGCATCAGCATCAGCATCAGCATCAGCATCAGCATTAGCATTAGCGTCAGCATCAGCATCAGCAACAGCATCAGCATCAGCATCAGCGCATCAGCATCAGCATCAGCGCATCAGCATCAGCATCAGCATTAGCATCAGCATCAGCATTAGCATCAGCATCAGCATCAGCATCAGCGTATCAGCATCAGCATCAGCATCAGCAGCAGCAGCATCAGCATCAGCATCAGCATCAGCATCAGAATCAGCATCAGCATCAGCATCAGCACCAGCATCAGCATCAGCATCAGCATTAGCATCAGCATCAGCATCAGCATCAGCATCAGCGCATCAGCATCAGCATCAGCATCAGCATCAGCGCATCAGCATCAGCATCAGCATCAGAATCAGCATCAGCATCAGAATCAGCATCAGCATCAGCATCAGCATCAGCATCAGCGCATCAGCATCAGCATCAGCATCAGCATTAGCATCAGCATCAGCATCAGCATCAGCGCATCAGCATCAGCATCAGCGCATCAGCATCAGCATCAGAATCAGAATCAGCATCAGAATCAGCATCAGCATCAGCATCAGCATTAGCATCAGCATCAGCATCAGCATCAGCGCATCAGCATCAGCATCAGCATCAGCGCATCAGCATCAGCATCAGCGCATCAGCATCAGCATCAGCGCATCAGCATCAGCATCAGCGCATCAGCATCAGCGCATCAGCATCAGCATCAGCATCAGCATCAGCATTAGCATCAGCATCAGCATCAGCGCATCAGCATCAGCATCAGCATCAGCATCAGAATCAGCATCAGCATCAGCATCAGCATCAGCATCAGCATCAGCGCATCAGCATCAGCATCAGCATCAGCATCAGCATCAGAATCAGCATCAGCATCAGCATCAGCATCAGCATCAGCGCATCAGCATCAGCGCATCAGCATCAGCATCAGCATCAGCATCAGCATTAGCATCAGCATCAGCATCAGCGCATCAGCATCAGCATCAGCATCAGCATCAGAATCAGCATCAGCATCAGCATCAGCATCAGCGTATCAGCATCAGCATCAGCATCAGCATCAGCATTAGCATCAGCATCAGCGTCAGCATCAGCATCAGCATCAGCATGAGCATCAGCATCAGCATCAGCGTATCAGCATCAGCATCAGCATCAGCATCAGCATCAGGGTGAGCAGAGAACAATCAGCGTGTCACCAAGCATCAACTCTGAACCAAGAGGGACACCTCTGCAGGACCGCAGCACCCTCAGCACCACGTACATCTCTACACGGCCCACGCCAGCTCACACCGGCCCACACCAGCTCACACCAACTCTTGATTCTCCAGCCATCCGCGTTCAAACCCCCTCATCCTCCCCCCCATCACACTCATCTTCTCGTTCCGCCCACAATCATCCCGTCTTCCATGCCCATCCCACATACCACTGAAAGCTTCCCTCTTACCCGCGCCCCTCGCGCTCCGCGTTGCCCCACCTGGAAGGAAGAAGAGCCGCGGAAGCAGCCCCTCGTCGCTGGGCGGAACGGCATCCGCGGGGCACAGGAACCGCGGAGGCCCGCTCTCCGCCTTCTCCGCCCCGCGCTCTCCGCTCCCCGCGCCTGCGCTGCTATCAACGCCCGCATCCGCGGATCCGGGAAAAAGCGATTCCAGGAACGGGGGGACGGGCAGGGGGAGCGGCGGCAGGGGGACGGGCAGGGGAAGCTGAGGGAGGGGCAGCGGGTGCGGGGGAAAGGGCAGGGGGAAAGGCGCAGCGGATGCAGTGCTGTTCGCGCGGGATTCGCTGCCTTGATCCCCCTGAATGACTTCTTGCACGGCGCGCAGGTAATCGAACACGTCCGGGGGAACGTACTCCTTCCGCACGTCCTTCACGCGCGCGTACCTCGCGCGCACCGCCCTCGTCCGCTCCCGCATCGCTGCGCGCATCGCCGCCCGCTCCCTCTCCGCCTCCCCCTCCCCGTTTCCCCCCCGCGTGCCTCGCGCGCTGCCGTTGGTCGTGGACCCGTTTGTAAGGGGACGCGCGGAGCCATTCGGCGGGGATGAATCGGCGGAAGCACTAGCAGCGGAAGCGCTTTCAAGCGCGGCGCTGCCGTTTGGGCTATGCGCGGGGAAGGGAGTTGCGGAATCGGCAGTGCTATTTAGCGCGCGCTCGTTCCTCGACCCGGGAATCTGCGCCGTTGCGGTGATGCGCAGGCGGTGAGGGGCTCTGCGCGCGGAATCGCGGGAAAGGGGGCGGATTTGCGGGTCCGCGGCGCAGAGTGCGCTCGCCTGGCGATGACACAGCATGGCGGAGGAGATTTGGGGAACTAGCGTCGAATAAAGGAGGGAATGTGGTGGGCTGGGACGGAGCGACAGCAACGTGTGCGACAGCGACGCGTGAGACAGCACCGTGTGCGAGACGGACGCTACTACGGAAAACGAGGGAACGCGGAAGTTACGGAACGGAAAGCTGAGGCACGCGCTGGACGTCAGGACAACCCAGCGAAAAGTTGAAGTCTTTCTTATCTTGGCTAGAAGAGCAAAGAGAGAGATTCCACACTTCAAGCCAAAGCTTTGCGTGCATCCGTGGTCGAGTGGGGTGGAGAGGAGAAACTAGAGGCTCTGGTTATTCTGGGCACTTCCCGAGCCGAGCCTGCTGACCTTGGGTTTGGCAGGTCGGGAAAGGAAATGCACTGCTGCAAGTCGACGCTTTGCAGGAGTGCCGGGAAGCTCGTCAGAACGCCACGTGGCTGCGAAGCATTTGTTGCGGGGAGTCAACGCGTGGTGAGGCGAACAAGCGGCCACGACTTGATGTTAGCGAAACTCACGACAAACCCGCATTTTCGCTATTCAAAATAACTCGTGATGAAATGAAGAAGGTGTTGCACGACAATCAGACACCTGCTAATATTGAGTGAGCTTTTATGCTAAACAACACCAGCAAATGCAGCGCGGGTGGAAAGATTCAAATCCAATAAAATGTGCGCCATTCGAACTCAATATCCCCACTACTAATGGCTCCGCTACCAGCTATTGTAATCCCCGACTTTCGCTCCTGCGCTTCGAACCTCCTCCATTCGCATCTCAGCCGCCTTTCCGCGCACAACCGCCCCTTCCGAATCCCACCCGCGCAAAATTGCCCCTCTTGCCGTAGCTGCGGGCGCAAATCGCCCCCCCTCAGCGCATCCGCATCCCTCTTACTGCGGGTGCGCGCATGCGCGATCTGCTCCGCGTCTACTCCCCGGCGAGGCGGGAATTCCGGAAACGGACCGCACGCAGTTGAACGCGGGTGGCAAAGAGGCTTTTTTAGAATGCGTGATGCTAAATCGGGGATACGTAGCAGCCAGGCAGGCAGAAGCAGACTGACCCGTGCGACGACTCGGCGCGCAAGCGGCGACGGAGTCACAGAGCGGCGAAACTACGACGGCGACGGCGACGACGGCAGCGATTACGGCGACACGATGAACGGTGCAGATGATCTTACCCGCTGCTACATGGACGGTGGGGAAGATCCGACGAACCACAGCTACACTGTGGACGAGGCGCTCTCCGCCGTGGGATTCGGCTCGTTTCATTGGCTGCTGCTGGGGTATGCCGGCCTGGCGTGGGCGGCAGAGGCCATGGAGCTGCTGCTGCTCTCCTTCATCGCCACCCCCGCTGCCGCCCACTGGGGCGTGGGCGGCGACGGCGAGGCGGCGCTTTCGTCTGTAGTGTTCGCGGGCATGCTCGTGGGCGCGTTCGCGTGGGGACTGCTGGCGGACAGCCGCGGGCGCAGGTGAGGGGAAGAAGGGGGGGGTGGGAGGGGAGGGGGGGAGAAAGGAAGGGGAACGGCTGTGGTACTCTGGTGGGTTTGCTATCAACTCTTGCACACCTCATCCACTCACAGGCATGCTCGTGGGCGCGTTCGCGTGGGGACTGCTGGCGGACAGCCGTGGGCGCAGGTGAGGGGACGAAGAGGGGAGGGTGGAGAGGGGAAGGGGTAGGTGAGACGGGCGGGGGTGAGATGATGAAGGCGCGGTCGCATTCACAGCAACAACCCTCCACACATCCTCTCAGCGCCAACACCCCTTTTCCTCTCCTCCTCTCTGCCTGCCCCACCTCCTCCTCTCCCCTCGTTCACACCTCCATTTCACTCTGTTCCTCCGTCCTCTCCCCAACCGTCTCCATCCCAATTGCCTTGTCATGACATCTTCACCTCTTCCTCCCCAGCCCTTTCCCCCCACGCCCTTCCCTCACCAACCCCAGGTTCGCCTTCACAGCAACGGCCCTCCTCACCTTCCTAGCAGCGCTCCTCTCCTTTCCTAAGCTCTCTGCCTGCCCCACTTCCCCCGTCTCTCCCTTCCCCCTTCCCCCCAAACCAGGTTCGCCTTCACAGCAATGGCCCTGCTCACCTTCCTAGCGGCCCTCCTCTCCGCCGCCGCCCCCTCCTTCCCGCTCCTCCATCTCACACCCTTTTCTCCTTCGCTCTCCCCCATCCCCCCCATCGCAGGTTCGCCTTCACAGCAACGGCTCTCCTCACCTTCTTAGCGGCCCTCCTCTCAGCCCTCGCCCCTTCCTTCCCGCTGCTCCTCGCCGCGCGGGCCCTCGTGGGGGTCGGGCTGGGCGGTGCGCCCGTCATCTTCTCGCTCTTCCTCGAGTTCACGCCGCCTGCTGCCCGCGGCTTCTGGTCGCTCGCCCTCTCTCTCTTCTGGACCGTCGGATCCGTCGCCGAAGCTGCTCTAGCATGGGCAGTGCTTCCGGTCCTGGGCTGGCGATGGCTCATCGTTCTCTCCTCACTGCCTCTCCTGCTTCTGCTGCTGCTCTTCCCGCTGCTTCCTGAGTCTCCGCGGTACCTTCTGGTGAAATCTCGGCCGTTGGACGCCCTGGCAGTGCTGCAACACGTGGCAAGGCTTAATAGGAAGCAGCTGCCAGCAGGGCAGGTCAGCCTGGTTGCAGGGGGCGGGGGGTCCCAGGGTGGATCTCAGGGTGGATCTCAGGTGGAAAAAACAGAAGGGGGAGAGTCAGGGGAAAGGGCACCGCTGCTGCAGAGTGAGAGCGAGAAGAACAGCTGGAACCTCTCTCCCCCCTCCTTCCCCTTCTCCCTCTCCTTCCCCTCCTTCCCGCCGCCAGCCCTGCGCCAGCTGCTCTCTCCGCCTCTCCTCACAACGACAGTGCTCCTGTGGGGGGTGTTCTTTGCCAATGCGTTCACATACTATGGACTCGTGCTGTTCACCACTCAGCTCACTGCCGCCACTCCTGCTTGCCCCCGCTGCTGCTGCTGCTGCTGCTGTCTCTGCTGCAGCGGTAACTGCTGCTGTAGGTGCTGCTGGTGATAGCGTAGCGGCTGCTGCTACTGCCGCTGCCGGTGCTGCCACTGCTGCTGGTGATGGCCTAGCAACTGCTGCTGCTGCTTCTGCTGCTGCTGCTTCCGGGGTAGAGGCAGCAGCAAGGGACGCAGTGGAGCGACTAGGCCAGCCGTTCTTCTTCGGTGTGCTTGTAACGAGTGCTGCAGAGCTGCCAGGCCTGCTGCTCTCCGCCCTTATAGTGGATCGTGTGGGTAGACGCACCACAATCGCGGCCATGCTCGCCGTTGCCGCTCTCGCCCTCCTCCCCCTCCTCCTCCACTCCCTCCTCCCGGACTTGTCTGTTTTCGTGCTTGCTGCCCGGCCGGCTGCCACTGTAGCTGCGCTGTTTGTTGCCCGGGCGGCAATCATGGGGTCGTTTCAGACACTGTTCATGTTCGCACCAGAGGTGAGAGCTTTTTCTGGGGTTTGAGGTGCCTCAAGGGGCACTTCCTGTGGTGCCTTTTGACCAATGTTGAGACGCCTCAGAAATCTGTTCATGTTCACACCAGATGTGGGAAGCGTCGGTGCTGGGTGCTGTTCGCTCGCACGCGTCTTCCTCTCTGCTGTTATCTGCCTTAATTTGTGGGCCGCAGTTGTAAGCAGACGCTGCAACAGTTGCATGAGTTACAGTAGTTGCACGGGCTAGCCTTCTTGTAATCCCCTTTTTGACGATTTTCTCCTTTTCCCTTCCCTCGACCCTCTCCTCTCCCCGCTCCTCTCTACTCACTCTCCTCTACCCCCACCCCCTCTCTACCCACTCTCCACTCCCCACGCCTCTCACCCACTCTCCTCTCCCCCAACCCCTCTCGCAGCTCTATGCCACGTCTGTCCGTTCGTCTGGCCTCGGCTTTGCCAGCTCGTTCTCCCGCTTGGGTGGCATCGTTTGTCCTTATGTGGCGGTCACTCTGGTGCAAGGCGGCCAACTGTCTACAGCGCTGTCCCTCTTTGTAGCAGTCCCGTTAACAGCAGCAATTGCCACCACGTTTTTCCCAGTAGAAACCGCAAGAAGAGCGCTTATAGAGGTGCATGTTGAGGAAGGGGAATATGGGAATGAACAAGAAATTAGTCGAAAGCAGGGTGTTGCGAAAGATGATTCATTCAGCTTGTGATGCTATTTGTACAGTGGCATGGCCAATCAATCCATACCCTTATGCTCGACTAGCAAGTCTATCAATAGGCAGGTTGTCGTACGGAAGAGGTTATGCTTACAACCTGAAAGCTAGGTAAGGTAAGCTACGGTAGGTAGGTGAGGTTATGGTTATGGTAAGGTAGCTAAGTAAGCTAAGTAAGCTAGGTAACGTATTGAGTCAAGCATAACCCAACTCTTTGGCCACAACTGATGCAGCCCAGATTTCAGCAAGATGTGAAATTTTGACATTTTGTAACAATGAATGTGTGGTAACTTGTGTTGTACAGTGGTGCTTACATTGGTCAGCTCTATATGCCTAACCCCTAGCTTTGAACAGAATTAGACGGCATGAAATCCTACAGATATCTCAAGTCATGGGATGAATAGGCAGAATAAATAGCTTCATGTGCCATTCATCCCCTCTCCTCCACCCCACTGCCGTCATGTTCCCTCTCCTCCACCATGCTCCACTTGCCTTCTGCATTGCAATCCTGCAGATGGCATCATGCCTGCCATGATGCCACACAATGGCACACCATACCATGTCACACATGCCGTACCACGCATGCCATACCACACATGCCATGACACACATGCCATGCCACACCAGCCATGCCAAACAAGACATGCCACACATGCCATGACACACATTGGCACCAAGGCACATCCCAAACAATGGGATGCTCATGCCACACAACGGCAAACCAAACCATGCCACAGCATGGCATGCCAAACCAACCATGCCACACAATGAAAAACCACATCATGGCATGCCAAACCGTACCATGCCAGAAATGTCAAAGCGTACCATGCCACTCCGTTGCAGGCCAAAAAAAAGGCATGGCATGGCACACGTCATGCCTCAACAGGACACATCACACTATGACCACAAATGATCACACCATAGAATATCACAGTACCATGCCACATAGTATCATGCCACACAGTATCATGCCACACAGTATCATGCCACACACCAACATCCACACAAACGTGCACACAGTACCATACCATACAGTGAGATACCTTACAGTGCCATACCATACAGTAACATACCATACAATCTCATACCACACAGCATCATACCATACAGTATTATACCACACAATATCCTACCATACAGCATCATACGATACAAGATCTACCGTACAGTATCATACCATACAGCAACATACCTTACAGTATCATACCATACAATATAATGCCATACAGCATCATACCATACATACACTACTATACCATACACTAACATGGCATACAGTATCCTACCAGACAGCATCATACAACACAAAATCTACCATACAGTAACATAACATACAGTATCATACCACACAGTAACATACCATACAGTACCACACAGTAACATACCTTACGGTATTATACCACACAGAATTATACCACTCAGCACCATACCATTTCGTAACATACCACACAGTATCACACCATACAGTAACATACATAATCATGCAATACAATGTCATACTGTGGTATGATACAGCATCACACAATCCAACATAAAACCATACAGTAACATAGCATACCGTATCATACGATACAGTATCACACCACAGTATCCTACCATACAGCATCATACGATACGAAATCTACCATACAGTAACATAGCATACAGTACCATACCATACAGTATTACACATACAGTAACATACCTTACAGTCTCATACCATACAGTATCACACCACTGAGCATCATATCATACAGTATCAAACCTTACAGAATCATCCCATGCAGTATCTTACAATACAGTAACACACCATACAGTAACATACCATTATAATCAAACCATACAGTATCATACCATACCAATCATACCATACAGTATCATACCATTCAGTACCATACCATACAGTCACAAAGCATACAGTGCCATACCATACAGTATCACACCACTCAGTATCATATCATACAGTATCATACCATAAAGTAGCATACCATGCAGTAGCATACCATGCAGTAGCATACCATGCAGTAGCATACCATACGCCCCACTTCACACCAAACCCCCACCACAACTTACCAGCCCATCCCCCAGCAGTGGGAGCAGCAGACAGCCCACTCCCTTTCGGAAACAGCACCTTCAGTGGCTGAGCCTTGCAGGGGAGGTATGGCAGTGGAAAAGCATGATCTGGCCCAAGACTCAAATCCCACCCCTGACGTAGCTAGAGCTGACGCGAACCAGAGCCGCCGGCCGGTCGGCTCTGATGGTGTCCATTAAGCTTTGAACGCCAGATCGGTTACTTGAGCACCGAGTGCCGCCGCCACGCAGATTCCACCCACCACACCCCACCCACAAGCCACAACCCCAGAGGGTGCCGCCCCTAAGAGACTGTGCTGCCCGCTTGCTCCCATGCTGCCCCTCCACCCGCCCACCTCCCCCATCCCTTCACCCCATGCGTGCTTACCTCTACTTACCTGTATGTACCTACCTGAGCCGTGCAGCGACATGATGCCTGAGGCTGCTGGGAAGGGGGAGGGGGGGATTAAGAGAGGGTGGGACTCCACTGTGGTCCAGGCAGTGTGCTGTTGGGTGGGAAGGGAGGAGAGAGAGAGAGGGGAGGGGGTGAGTGAGAGGGTGGACTCCACTCTCAGCCATTGCTCCAGTGCTCCCACTCTCAGGCTGCGGGAGAGAAGGGGAGAAAGAAAGGAGGAGGTCAGATTACCTGACCTGTAACCATACCTCACCTGTTACCACACCTTGCATACCATGACTCGACCTAGCCTAGTCTGTCCCCTAGCCCCCCAACCCCCACTGCTGCTACCGCTGCTGCTGCTCCGCTTCTGCTGCTGCAACTGCTGCTGCCGGTCTGCTTCTCAGCTGCATTCTTCGATAGTGATGCCATGTGACCTGGTGGCGGGCAGAAAGGAGGAGAGAGAGAGACAAAGAGTGAGGTGTGGCGTGACAAGAGTTGTGAAGTGTTTCGAAGTGCACATAGGATGAAGCAGGAACATGTCGAAACGACAAGCCAGAAGCGCTAAGAATGAAGGAACATGCAGCAGAAAACGAACGTGAGGGAGTTGGAGGGTAAGAAGGAAGTTGACATACCTTGAGAGGCCAAGCCCACCCCGATACTCTCCCTTGTGGCAGCAGTTGCCATCTGCTGCAGTGCTGCCTCCCTCCCGCCCGTCCCCGCTAGTCGCTGCACGGCCACAGGGGAGGGGCGTGGGGAAGCGTCGGTGTTGACCCCAGCGCCCCTCCCCTCCACCTGCAATGCACACACACGGCGGTGGTCAGTATGGCATGGCATCGAGCACAACACAAGCAGCCGACTGGAAATTGCCAGTCTGGAAGAGAAGGGAGGGCCACTGGTTGAGGCAAGGCCACACGCCACAGACGCCAAGGGAACCTGCACCTGAAAAGGAGACCTGCACCTGAGACGGTTACCTGCACCTGAGGATATACCTGAAGAGAGGGAGTCTGTGGCATGTGAGCCGCGCTCAAGAAGTGGCATTGTTTCAAGGGAAGGGCGAAATCACAACAAGCAAACGAAATGACTGCAGCGAATGCAAGAGATGATGTGCACGCAGAGTGGCATGGAGGAGAGTTACTTAACTAATGGGTGAGGGCGAGCTCAAGGCAGCTGCAGCACCACCAGCTGCCTCCCTCCACGGCAGCCCTCCTCCCCGCCTTCCCGTGTGCGTCCCTGCACGGCCACAGGGGAGGGGCGTGAGGGAGCGTCGGTGTTGACCCCACACCCCTCCCCGCCACCTGCAATGCGCACACACAGAGCTAGTGAGAGCACGGTGGAGGGAGCAAGTGGTATGGGTAACCATGACTTCAAATCCAGCGCAAAAGAAGAGGGAGGAGCCACTGGTGGAGGCACGGCCACAAGCTGCAGACCCAAGGGCACCTGAAAAAAAACCTGAGGGGTGTACCTGCACCTGAGGGGTTACCTGCACCTGAGGGTTTACCTGAAGTGGGGGGTCTGTGGCATGTGAACCGCGCTCAACCAGTGGCATGTTTCAAGCGGAAGAAAGCACAACCGGCAAACGGAACGACAGCAAGAAACGTACAAGCAATGATGTGGCAGGCAAGGTTGAGGGCGTGGAAACAGGAGGGTTACTTAGCTGGTGGCGTGAGGGCGAGCTCAAGGCAGCTGCAGCACCACCAGCTGCCTCCCTCCACGGCAGCCCTCCTCCCAGCCTTCCCGTGTGCGTCCTGCACGGCCACAGGGGAGGGGCGTGAGGGAGCGTCGGTGTTGACCCCACACCCCTCCCCGCCACCTGCCATGCGCACACACAGAGCTAGTGAGAGCACGGTGGTGGGAGAAGGTTGAATGGGAAACATTAAATTCAAATGCAGCGAAAGAGAAGGGAGGAGCCACTGGTGGAGGCACGGCCACAAGCTGCAGACCCAAGGGCACCTGAAAAAGAACCTGAGGGGTGTACCTGCACCTGAGAGGGTTACCTGCACCTGAGAGGGTTACCTGCACCTGAGGGAATTATCTAAAGCAGGGTGGTCTGTAGCATGTGAGCAGTGCCCAACCAGTGGCAAAGTTTCAAGAAGACGCTGCAGCAGCAAATGAAATGAAGGAAACAGTGTGGCAGGCAATGGTGAGGGCATGGAGGAACGGGTACTCAGCTGATGGCGTGAGAGCAGGAGGCAGCTGAAGCAGCATGGGCAGCAGGCATGGCATGGCGCCTCAGACGAGCAGCAGCGCTGTGCAGGGCGGGGTACTTAGCTGTGGGTAGGTTGGGTGGAAAGCAGATGCTGCCTGTGCACTCCATGTCCCCCGCCACTGCCACTCCCGTGTGAGCGACCTGCTGGGACGAGAGGGGGCAGGTCGGGACAGAGAGGGGAGGGAGGAGGGGGGGAAGAAAACGGGGAAGTGAAGGGGACGCAGAGGAGTGGGGAGCGCAGTGAGGAACAAAGCCAAGACAAGTGAAAGTGAAGAGTGCAGCAAGCGCAAGCATGATGCGTGCATGAATGGACTGCTGCAGTGGCACACCCAAGAGACCTCGTACCGGCTGAACCAAACTAAAACAAATACCTGAGGCTGTACCAAGAAAAAAGATACCTACTACCTTGGGGGAGGGAGGTCTAATGGGTGTGACAAAGAGCAGTGAAAAAGTGAGTGTAATGCATGGTGCAAGCATGACAAGCAAAGCACATTGAGAGCGTTGAGAGAAGAGAGGAAGGGCAGGGTACTTAGCTGTGGGTAGGTTGGGTGGAAAGCAGGTGTTGTCTGCTGCCGCCAGTGGCTTGAGGCATGAGGAGAACGCTGATGCTGCCCCACGTCCGTCCGCCTGCCACTGCTGCTCGCGATGAGGCCTGGAAGCGAGGGAGGGGAGGGGAGGGGAGGGGAGGGGAGGGGAGGGGAGGGGAGGGGAGGGGAGGGGAGGGGAGGGGAGGGGAGGGGAGGGGAGGGGAGGGGAGGGGAGGGGAGGGGAGGGGAGGGGAGGGGAGGGGAGGGGAGGGGAGGGGAGGGGAGGGGAGGGGGAGGGGAGGGGGAGGGGAGGGGTGCACAAGGAGAGGCAGTGAGTGGGATGGGATGGAGGCACCGAGCGAAAGAGAATGGACGCACGCGTGGTGAAATTGAAGAAGAGCGAAAAAAGGGCCACTGGAGGACGCACACTAACAAGCCACAGACTACGGTCTTTACCAACGGAATCACCTGGAAAAGGCTTTACCTGGGGGAGGGCTTTACCAGTAATGGGGAGGGTCTGTGGGCTGTTTCGTGTGCTGCCACCAGTGGCCTCGTTTGGGAGAAACCGGAATGACAAGAAAACGAACCGAGGGCTGACATGGGATGTGAGCACTTAGCTGATGATTGGTCGTCGCTGCAGGCAACAGGTGAAGCCTGGGAGGCATGTACGTTGTCAAACGCACGCAAGCTGCTTCGCGCTCCTCATGGACTCCACCACTCCGCGTTTCTGCCATCACGTGTTCGTCTCAGCATGGCTGATGTGCAGCCAGACTTGAAAAGTCAACAGAAAAGACATTCGTGAGATTCGAATACCGGAAACGTACTTTATATATAATAGAATCGAAGGGACGGAAAGGGATTATGAGTACTAGATTGTACCTTGAACCGCGGCGGAATCGCGAGCTCGCAGTGGCTGGTGCGCTTGAACCCGTCGCGATTTCCGCAGACGACGCGGATTAGTCAGCTGTGGCGGAAGTCGACGTTGGATGGCGGACGCTGACAGGTTTTCGGATGCTCAACTGCCTGTAAACACATTGAAATGACGTCGAATCAGAAATTGATCGAAATATGTACCAAAAGGTGGCTAAAACATTGAAGACATTACCTTTTCCGCGAGAGCACGTCGTGGTACTGTGGAGTTTCGGCGTTTCAGCGATGATGCTATTTGAGGTTGGAAGTTGGGTCTATGGTTGGTGCCTCTATGGTTGATAGAGACCTGACGATGCTCCATTGCCTGCGGAAGAAGAATACGCACGTCAGAAACTCGCTAAACGACGACAAATAGACAAAAACGGCGAGCTGAAATGAAGCAGAAGAAGATATTACCTGTGTCAGAGCACGTCGAAACTCCGCGAAACTAGCATCGAGTCTACGAATCGATCCTCCTGATGCGCGTGAGGCTTGTCGCTAATCGCGTGTGTGAACGAGCTGACACAGTTGCTCGGTCCAAATGGCAATGTGTTTCATCTACGACTACGTTCGTTCATCTACGGGTACGGCAATGTTCGAATGAATGTGCGAATGTCTAGACTGACTGGTCAAAATGTCGCTCTGTGAAACCCCCTGCTCGAAATGTCGTCTCGAAAAATTCCTGGCTGGATCGTCGTCTCACGAATGCCTGGCAAGATTGAAAATCCACAGCCAACCCCAAGTGAGTGTGGCGGACTGGGGGTGTGTGGGACTCGATTCTCGCGGTTGGCTGGAAGGCTACCGAAAGAAGACAAAAAATGAGCGGTCCTCCTTGTTTTAGGCCGCGCGGCTCCGATAGGGTTCGGACATTGGGGTTTGGTTTCTGGAGGGATGGCCGTTGGCAGCACAAAACGCGACCGGGTGAGC